TTTGTTGTAGGGCAGAGGGTGCAGGCGCGACCGCAGTTTTGGAGGACGAGGACGTGCAGTGGTGAAGGCTGCCGAATGAGATGAAAGTGGAGCTGCGGGGAAGCTGACGGGCTGGCTTGGCACGTCCCACGTCGAGGCCTCGACGGCGTGCCTCCCAGATCGCAGACCTCTATTGGTATCATTTTTCTGCTATCGATTCTCTGGCCTCAGCTTTGTGGACTGCAAACAGCCTGCGCGCCACCATACAGGGTTCTATTCTCACGAAAGCCAGTACGCAGCAGTTGTTACCAAAAGCAGCAATGGCTTACGGCAACCATGCTCTCCGCAAAGCTCGAGACAGTAGTAAGCTATATACCAGCTACTCGAATGTAGGGAAGGATTGAGTTGTGCATTATCTTTATCTACTTCACGCTATTATTGACCATTCCCGTACCTCTTGTGCCCACCCTGTGGAGCAGATTTACCACGCTACTGCCGTGCACAAAACTTCATTCGCCGGGAGACCGACTTACGAACCGACATAGTGGCTCAAGTTCATTTCTTGCATCTTTCCTTTCCTCTTGCGGACCCTGTACGACGTTGTGCGTAAGGGTTTCGTTGCGTTCGTAAGCGCGTTGTACACCAAATCTACGAAGCAATCTACATTCTTACAGGCGGAGAGTCCGTCCTCCTAGCTGGGAAGTCAATATTATTTGTCTCGATCACGTTATCCTGCGTTGTCAGTCGATCCGCTTCCAGATTCGAAGGTCTTTCATCCCGTTCATACCGGTTATCCTCCACACTCGACCACGGCCACCCTTGTTGGCCCTTATATCGACTATACTGGCTGTTTGCGCATGGCTCCTCGCCTAAACTGTGCATCTCGTCGGCGAAGTCGCTCGTCGTGATTGCAGGGCCGATACTGTGGCGCTCTCCGTGATATTTCACAAGTACTGCGGCGGTCGGCGGGATCAAATAACTACCAAACACGATTAGTCGCACTCGAGTGAATCCGGGAAATACTTTCAGTATCACTTGCACGCTAGAAACGCACCAGATTAAGCCAACCTTGGCGCACACTTCCTTCTCTGCAAAGCACAACACGCTGTCTCGACGACTTCCAGACATGCCTACGCCACTATCACCCCACAAAGACTTTGCGCTTGTCATCGCCACGAGAGCGGCGTCCGGACTTTCCGTCATAGGCTCAACAATCATAATCACTACTTTCGTGTGTTTTCCCTTCTTCAGAAAACGTACGTTGACTTGCTTCGATGCGTTACAAGAGCTGATATAGCGCAGCAATTAACCGTCTGGTATTCTTCGCGACATTCGGGAACATCTTGACGAACATCGCGACTTTGATGTCGATTGCAGCCTTACCAAAGGATTCTGAACCCCCGTCCGGTCTCTGCGAGTTCCAGGGTCTCATGATCCAATGGTTCTTGATCACAGATGCGCTCTTCTGTTTATCGATGGCTACGAATGTATTCCTGGTGTTTTTCTATGGATACGATGCCCAGCAACTTCGCCATTTGGAGAAGTGGTATGTCGCGTGTAGTTATGGGATCCCAGCTTTACCAGTCCTCGTCTACTTCATCTTGGGTAGAACGGGAAACGAGATTATTGGATCAGCAACTCTTTGGTGCTGGGTATCGTCTGACGTCGAGTGGATGCGGATCGCATTTTTCTACGCTCCTACCTGGTAAGTCCAGTCCTCGTCAAGCCAAGCAAAGCTAATCTCGCCAGGATTGTTATCACTACGACTATCAGCATCTATATCATCACCGGTTATCGGATCTGGAGGAAGCGTGCCGAACTACGCTCCGTTTCTCGAAGCTCACACCAATATTTAGCCAGAAACTCCTTCACTGCTGCTCCGGACAATATTGCCCCGCATCCTTTTGTGGGTACAAATAACATCGTGGTGACAACGCAGATTAAATGCGACGTTCAGGCAGAGGACGCCATCTCCCGCTGTGTCTCTCCCGAGCCCGATCAAAGCTCCATCAACTCGTTCTCGAGCACCCGGTTGCTTTCCTCGCCCAGCAAACATAACGATACGGTGACGGAAACACTACCAGTCGTGGATGCTGTCCGTACTTCCAGAATACAGATCGAGGATGTCGAAGCGCAGCGACATCCGCACAATGGTACGAGAGGTCGGAACGGGTACAGGGCGACCGTCATTGCGACAAGCCCTGCAGAAACCTCGGCAACCCCGGCTACATTATTAACAACACGCCCTGTCGCTAAGCGGACTGCAGAAGGCCATGCTGCAGCGATGGCATACTTCCAAGTCGCCTTCCTCATGTTCGTAGCCTTGCTTGTGGTCTGGCTACCCAGCAGCATCAACCGCATGTACCAGTTCACGCACAGAAACCGCTCGAGCTTCGCTCTCAATATCATCTCCGCAATTGTACTTCCGCTTCAAGGAGCCTGGAACGCCACAATCTACATCTTCACAACCCGCGCCGAGTGCAGAAGAGCTTGGGGTACGATCAAATCCAAGCTGACTGGCAGCCCATTCCAACATCATCTGCGACGAGATGCCTATCGCAAGGAAACGATGACGAGCTCTCGCGACACGCAAGACTCTGGTACTGAGATTGCGCTAGATGATTTCCACAAGCACGACGTTCATGTACGTCACGCTGAGGTGTCGAATGGCCAAGCCACTGAAGAAGGCAAAGCTCAGCGTCATTCAGAGCCGTGGTGATGCGTCCGTCAATGTTTCTCCACGTCGTCGTACTACTGTGGCGTTTCAACAGTGCTACGTGGCTCGCGTCAGCTCACCGTGTTTCGAGTCATTGTGCCTTGACCTTTTGTATCATCATTTCTTATTTTATCAATGGTTCTCTATTCTTGGGTTGCGTGCAGCTTACTGTCATTCCGGGTGTTTCCAAGTTTCGGCGGATCACTCGTTTTGGAACTTGAGCTTTCAGTCAGTCGTTATCATGATACCCTAAGATTTGTGTACGGCGTTATACTAGATCTGGGGCGATCTATTGGGCTCAGGGGACACAGAAGAGGGCGGTATAGCCTCAATGGCTCTGGGGAACTTGATTATACTTGTGTTGTAGCGAGGAGAACGAAGTATGTGCTTTGTTAAAGGTCCCAATATCATTATATATTACGTGAGAGTAATTGAAGAATTTCATGAAATCACCGCCGGGCACTGATCACTCCAGAATAACATCCCCATCCTTCGCAACCTCATCCATACCCCTACCCCTTGGCACGAGGATGCTCCTGAGGATGCAAAGCTGACCGTTATCCGGACAAATCTTCTCCCTGTTCAACTGCTTATCCACAGGTCCAGTCGGTCCACCCGAGAACTTAGCCTGACCAAATAGCTTGACTTGTCTCGGATCACTCTCGGGATACTCTTCGTCACCCCATCTGCCCTTGAAGTTCAACCACGCCGTCGGCGCCTGACCATCATAAGCCGAGAAAGCGGACTTTCCGGCATCGAATTTGTAAAATTTGGCGGATAGGAGAGGATCCCACATCACACCTCGGTCTGTGTAGTCTTCCAAGACGCCGCCGGGAAGATTGAGGTTGGGGATGGTGTGGTCGTGGGTTCCGGAGATGGCGTAGTTGGCATGCGAGCCTTTGGAGGAGTATGCGATGGGTCTGTCGCCGGTCTTCTCGACGGTGCCGTAGCGGAAGGCTTGGCCGTTTGCGTGTTGAGAGTACCAGATTGCCTCGGGAGAACCGTTTGAGAAGCGGACCATTACGTGTTCCCAGTCTCCTACGTGGTTGCCTTATTGGAGTGTTAGAACTGAACAGTGTCCTGGTATGGATGGGGGGAAGGACGTACCAAAGTTCAGTTTGCTCCATCCTAGTACCTCACCGCCGTAGTTGTAGGCGTAGAAGTACATGTAGAAAGCATCAACGTTGCCGTTGCCCTTGTCGTTCACGATTATGGCTGCTGTGGTCGCTCCTTCAGTCTTGCCCTGCGCGTTGGGTTTTGTGCCCTTGATCCATGAAGGATCTTTGGTCACGTCGTCGTTGGATGTGAGCCAGACGTCGCTGCCCATCTGATCGAGGTTGGAAGTGGTTAGGGGCTTTGAAGGGCCAGAAACTTCGTTGAACTTCACCCGCGGAGTCGTATGGTTCAGGAATGTTTGTATATCGGTGGGATAATAGGCATCCTGTGAGTGAAGGTAGACGATGGGCGCTAAAGAGCAGTTAGTCGAATTCGATGTACAATTACAGACAGCGAAGCAAGATCGAGTATCACTGCGTACCATATTTGAGTACATAATCTGGAACGCCATTTGGCGCCTGCCTTTCGTTGAGTGCGAGTGGCGCGCAGCTGACCAAAGATACGGCCATGGTAGCCAGCGCAACAAGTGGTCTGAAAGCCATCGTGTCGTCTTTCGATATATAACGAAGGCAGTGGTTGTGAATGGGATCTGTGTCGGTTTGCGCACGAGAGTAAACCAACTGCTGAATCACTGCTTCTCTTATACAAACGCCTACGCCCAGCTGACTACCGAGTCACCCCCTTCACGTCCGCATCAGACGAACGGTTTACCCACCCATTCTCCTCCACCAAACCCCATGCGCTAGCGACATACCGTCTATGCATGGTCGACATACTCGTACTAATTCGCCTGTGTCCCCAAGCAATAATCAGCTGCCCACGCCAATAGTCGGGGAGGCCGGCACACGTGCGAACACATTTGATGGGTGACCAAAAGCAAGCGTTCGGTTCGGTTGGAATTGACAGCGGGTGTGGCTTGGATGATTGGTTCTCGAGCGCTAGGGCCCTGATAGCGAGCCGGATGTGGCGATCCGCGCCAGAGGGATGTGCCGACATTGATAGGGTGAAGGCTAAAGTGATCCACGTCTGAAACATGGCGATGTTGAGTATGCACATGCGATAACTTGCACTGACAGAATTGATGCAGGGGCTGTGAGAGGGTCTTGGGTAAAATTGCCGGTTGTTCTTGGCAAAACCACGCAGGCGTAGGTGTTGTACAGCTCCATGGATCATATCCTACAGGCAGTTGCTAGAATACAAAGGTTCGCGCAAACTTGCGATCCATCTCCTCATACTCCTCCTTGAGCATTTTGCTTCTGAGCTTGTTGAGTCGGAGAATGACACCCTCTTCTTCACCCTCTAGGTTCTCCACATCCTCATCCAGGGCCTTGGTGCCCTTGACCTTCCACACCAGCCCCTTCAGACCTCCACTCTTCGCCTGATCCCGCTTCTCGCGGGCCTCAGCAGCCAAATAAGTCATGATCTTCCCCCACGATTCGAGACCGACCTCCTCGCACTTTTCGCACTTCTTGCGGAGGTCGTCGTTGGCGCGTATGGGTTCGAGCGATTGCGCGAGCTTGGAGGTAGAGACACCATCGCGCACCCATGAGAGGCCCTGTTGGCGTTGACTAGATGAGTTGCCGGCTGTCGCGAAAAGGATCTCGCCAATATAGTTCTTCAAGGCGGCTTCTTCGCAGCGGTCGCTTTCTTTGCGGAGGAGTGGTTCGTCACCTGAGGGTGGCACCTCTGGATAGTCGGGTTCACGCAGCAAGCTGAACAGAGTACCGATGAGGGTAGAGTCCTTTTGTGCCTGGACCGCAGGAATATGCGCCTCCTGGGCTTCGATACGAGCACGGAGCAGCGAGACGAAGATTGGGAGTGCGGACGAGACTCTTCGTTGTTCCGCCAGAAAAGTAGCCAGGTTTGTCGCCGCGTAGAGGATGTTTGGTGTTACTGCTTCCTTAGGTGCCGTAGACGACAGAATGGCACTGTCTCGGTCGATAACTGTCGAAGGCTCGGGTGTGGGTAGGCCTGCAATGGCAATGTCAAGTGCCCATCTATACATTTCCTCCGCCGAGTCGGGGAGCTTTCTGAAGTTGAGCCAGTCGGCGTAGCTCAACGCAGCTGACAGCCGTTGATATGTTGTAAACCCCTTGGAGGTGATGACCTTGAGGTAGAACGTCTCTGGTGCTTCCGCCGCGGGAAAGCGATGCTGCTCATCTGGTGGTTCGGGCATGCCGGGAAGAACAGCTTTCGGTCGTGGATTCGAGGGTGATTGAATGAATTCTGGCGCCCACACGTTTCTCCTCCATTTGTCCGTCACCCATCCATCTAATCTTTCTGCAGCATTGCCCATGCCCATCAAGACTTCGTAGTACCCTTGTCGCCACTCCTCGCTTTTGGCCGTCAGATCGAAGCCTGCCTTGCCTACGCCGGGCACCAAGATCCCTCCCTCTTCCTGGTCAGATAAACCCGCGCCATCCTTGTTCGGGTGTTCCAATCGATTCAGCGCATATTCCAGCTCTGAGTAGACCCGTGCCCAGTTGGGGAAACCCTCTTCCTCGTTGTTTTCGGGCACCTGCCACCACTTTCCTCGCCGGAACCTGAATCTCGTAATCAGACTCCACTCATGCGGCGACGGAAAGGCCCGCTCTTGCTGCTCGCTCAATATGCCCAGACTTGCGATACTGACGCATGATGAGAGGAGAAAGATGAGGATGCTATATCGCACACTCAATTTCGCCGTCTCTTTTATGAATTTCTTGTGGTTGGCGCTAATGGAGAACAGACGTTGTAGTTGGCCATTGGAGAGGTGCTGGCCCGAGGGATAGAGGAACGGTAGCTGTGGCCGGGGCGAGCCCTGGTGCGCGACGAGGAATTGGCGGGGATGTTTGTTCGAGAACTGGCGTGGACATGGGCGGTCAGAGGTACGCGATGTCGGGGGCCTCAGCGAGCCGTGTGGGAGCTTTGCTCGATGCGCCGGGGGCCGCATGATGCTTTGCGACTGCAATTCTGTCGCTTGAGGGGTGCATCGATGCCGTAGTTCACGCGCCAAGACAATCTTGCGCGACCGCCCGGCAGAAAAAGTTCAGGATCTCCATTCTCGTTTCGCGACGCTCCTACAGATCTACACCATTTTTGCGCGCCCACCATGTCCAAATCTAAAATTGACACCCCCGAGAAGAAGCGCAAGCGCGATGCCGAGGCAGCAGAAGATGCGCCAAAGAAGTCCAAAAAATCCAAGAAGACCGACAATGTCCAAGATGCGCCTGTAGTCGAAGCGACCGAGGTGAAGAAGGAAAAGAAAGACAAGAAGGATAAGAAGTCTAAGAAGTCCAAGGACAATGTCGACACGTCGGCCGTCGAGGACGCCTTAGAAGACGCAAAGAAGGAGAAGAAGGAAAAGAAATCGAAAAAGTCCAAGAAGTCCAAGGATGCGGATGTCTCTGAGGATGCGCAAGAAGCTGATCTTATCGATGAGATGAAGTCCTCGGAGAACTTTATCAGCGTCAACGATGACGAGCCAATGCCCGATGCCACCGAAGACGCGCCTGCGAAGAAGGAAAAGAAGTCCAAGAAAGAGAAGAAGGATAAGAAGTCGAAGAAGAGCAAAGACGCTGCCGCATCTGAGGACACACCTATGGAAGACGCAGCTGAAGAACAGAACGGCGTAGCTGAGGACACCCCAGCAGAGACAAACGGCGCAGACTCTGACTCCAAGGCTGCTAAGAAGGAAAAGAAGAAAGACAAGAAGGAGAAGAAGGACAAAAAAGAGAAGAAGGCAAAGAAGGCGGCAGAAGCAGAGACCAACGGCGAAATCTCTACTGAAGAGCCCAAGGCCGAGACCAACGGTGATGCCTCTGCAGAAGACGCAGATGTAGACGTTGAGGGTGGCGCCGAAGTCGAGGTAGAGGGAGAGGAAGCCCAAGCCGCAGTCGAGGCTAACAAGGGCCGCTTCATCGTCTTCGTCGGTACGTCCTGTGCACATTCCGATCTATCACAGTCATCTAACATACAATTCCAGGCAACCTCCCCTACAGTGCTACGAAAGAGCAAATCGAGAAGCATTTCGAAAAGATCAAGCCCACCGACATCCGTCTCCGTACATACAAGGGCACCGAGAAGTTCATGGGCACCTGCTTTATCGAATTCGACCGCTACGACCGCATGGTGACGTGCTTGAAGAAGTACCACCACTCCCTCTTCGCCGACCCCAAGAAGAAGGAGGGAAGGAAGATCAATGTTGAGCTGAGGTAAGATTTGAATCCTCTGGGTCTTCTACGCGCATCCCTGATCCCCTACCACCCAACAAAAAGCAATAGAACACATACTAACACCACCCAACAGCGCAGGAGGCGGCGGCAACAGCGAAGCCCGCAAGTCCAAAATCTCCGCCAAGAACGAGAAGCTACACGACGAGCGTGCCCGCGACCGCGTCAAGAAGACGGAACTCGAAATGAAGCAGAGCGAGCGCAAGGCGAAGAAGGAGGCCATGTCGGGCAAGAAGGACGGTGATGACGCCGAGGCTGCTGCAGCAGACGAACCCTCCGAGGCCGCTACGTTTGGCATGAACCCTGCGCGTTTGGCTATGATGCAGGGTCCTGAGCGACCGCAGCATAGGTCGAGATATTGAGGGCTGTATTTACAGTGAGGGTGTGGATAATGTACGACGCGATTTGCTGCGATTTATCCGTTGGTTATATGAGCGGACTTGTACGTGATTTGGGGTTCGCCATCTGGCCTCATTTCAAGATACTACAGCTTTAGAGCTTTGACATCATCGAAGTTAGAAGTTTGCAATTTGTGTCTTTGCTCTCTGTCTTTTGTCAAAATATGTTTATTGTTATGGATGCAGCTCTATCGCTGGGTAAGATGGTAGTCTAAGGAGTGACTCAAGAATCGAAATGGGTCGTGAATTTACGCGCTCAAAACATAATCCCTGCACAAAGAGTGTACCGCAGTTGGAGCTTGCGTCGCAATCAGTCGATTTCATCAGTCCTGCTAGCTGCAGTGCTAGTCTCCTTTATGCGCGAAAGATTAATGCTTAGTAGCCGTCGCCATAGCCGCCCTTGGACGTTGTGCAGACCGTGGTGGTGCCAGTTGTAATGTACGTGGTCGGCTTCTTCGCAGTCTCCGTGACGACAGACCCGGTGGTCTTTGAGCTTGTGATGGTCTCCTTAGCAGTGGAGACGCTGGTCTTGTAGGAGGTTCCGGTGGAGCTGTATGCGTGTTAGCCAGGAGATCACCACGAGCAATCGCGGTCGTATACTTACACAACTGGCACGGTCTCAACCTTGGTAGCAGACTTGACTTCGCTCTCTACCTTGGTGTTGTAGATGGTAGTCACAGTCGAGTAGGTCTTGGTGGTCAGATAGGTAGTGAGTTGCGTGACCGTCTTGGTGCTGGTGCCGGTAGTGGTGTATGGGTAAGGTGCTGTGACGGTCGAGAGCTTCTCAGTAACAGTGGTGACAGGAATGACCACAGTCTTGGTAGACAAATAGGTGGTCTTGCCCTCCCCGACGCTGGAGCTGACGTATGTGGCTGAGAAAAGTCAATCCAAGATCACAGGAAGCTACACGTAGAAACTTACAAGGAGTGCAGATTGTTGTCTCTTTGGGAGGAGGCGCAGACGAAGTCTTTGGAGGGGGCACGTATGCGCTGGAAGAAGACTTGGGAGGCACTGCGGAGTAACCGGGGAAAGCAGCAGCGAGAGAAGCTGAAGCAGCGAGCGCGAAGAGGTTCTTGAAGAGCATCCTGGGCTAAAGACTTGAGTGATCGAGAGTGAAGGTAAAGCAATTGACGACAGATTTCGACTTGTAGCGAAAGAGTATCGACTAGACTGTTGCAGACTGTGAAGGCTGATGATGCTTTCAAAGCGCGACTATAGGGTTACTTTATACTTGAGCCTAGCTTCTCAACATACTCATAACCGACGCATCGTTGTCATCCTGTGCGGAGAAACGAGGCAGAGTCGTTCTCTGGTGGCCCGGATGATCGACAAAGCGATCCGTAGTACCTTGCACATCTCGCACGATGGCTTAGAAGAAGATACACCGCGGGCCTAGTACAGCAGGTAGAGTATCAAATGACAAAAATAGCTCAAGCATGTCGATGCGGGTCCAGATCAAGTCGTCCCATGGAAGCATGCATGCATGCAGTTGCCACGCTACCAGTATCCACGAGTGCACCAGTCTAATGACTAATGAAGGGAATGCATCTAGTACGTGTACGCAAGCCATGAAAAGCGATGAGTGGGGGAGTAGACTATGAGCCAACCGGATATTCTGGTGTGGAGAAGAGAATTGGAAGTGCACTTGGCAAGTGTCTTTCCCTCATGGACTTGATGATGACCGAGAAACGTAAATCGTCGGTACCAACGACCCGAATAGCTGACGAGCATCTCTATGACTTGGAAGTACGAAATAATATTCAGCTGTGTATCAAAGACCTGTACATCGAAGCACGTGTCGAATCAACGTGCTGTACGTCACGCACGTTTGTCCACCGGGTACCCTGGTGGTTCCAAGCAAGAGTCCCAGGAACCCGGAAACATCTGAGGTGGCAAAAAGCCGGGGAAGCGTAAGCTGAGTGTGTTGATCGGGAACTAATAGTTAGTCGTCGGGTGTACCTGACGGAGATCACTGCATGCTGCAGGTTGATATCGAATCTTCTTCTCGCCCGGTTTTAGTGAGGGGAAAGATGAGCAATACGAGGGAGGTGCGGCTGGAGCAATCAGCAGCTCTTACTTGAAGGCGTCATTCGCAATATGCGCGTCTGATCGAGCACTTTGGCATGGCGAAAGCTTGTTTGTACATGACAGGGCATTGATGCGGTGGGTGAAGAGGGGTTCAGCCATTGTGGGGAATCTGGGCGCACGGCCCGAGACCCACCGACGCCGGCTTGCATCGCAACTTTTCTGTGACGGGCGGACCAAGACGTCTGCCCGGCCATTGCCTTCTCACGCCACGCCTTTGGCTAATAACACACTCGCTCCGGGTATTTTCACGACGCCGCCTCGACTGTACGACTCTCGGCAAGCCCAAAATCCCCTCCACTGTCAGCAGAGACACGCTCGGGGGTCCGCAACGTCCGCAACGAATTCGGCATGCAACGCTAGTCCTGCAGTCACCCGACAGATTACCCCAGAATACTTGCAGTACGGCTCGAGAGGTTTATGGAAGCTGTCCAGAAGATTCCGATCTTGCGAACGATGTCCCGTCCAACGGCAGCGCCGGTCAACCCCCCTCCACGGCCGGCTGAAAGCACATACGAAGGAACGCCCATTACGTCTTCACGATCATTACGCCAGCTTTCGATATACTTCCTCGGAAGCGCCTGCTTACTGGCTTCGACCGCAATAACGCGCAAGGCCGTATGGAGGCGGCAGCTCCGTGTCATGCCAAAGTTTTACGAAGCGAACACGAACCCGCACGAATACTTCAGTCCCTTCTCAGATGCCTGCCAGGCTCTGAACCTGGCCACGATGAACTGCGCCAGTGTTGGGATCATGGCGCTGGGTGGCGCAATGTGGACCTTTGATATTGCCAACCTGAGAGAAGCTCGCGCAGTTCTACGAGGCCGCCTGAACTACGATCGGATATACCAGTCCGAGGATGATGTACCAAATACCATCAGCGAGATGATAGCTGCATCCGGCCAGATGCGAATAATAGAGGAGGACGCGAAGGACGGTTCTGACAAGAACCAATAACGACCGTTAACGTGTACAAGTACGACTGTAAGATTAGTGTATACAACAGGAAGGCTGAGTGCCTAGTAGCTGCGCATGGTAGCACAAGCACGGCGCGCTCGCAGTGCCTCATCGGAGCGACATTTGCAATCGAGGCATTCTGCGCCCACTGGTACAACCCCGCCTCTATGTCAAGTCGAGACCCTCAACACTATCGACGTGTCGTAGATTATGTAGGCTACTTGATGCTAATGCACCATGTGCAGAACGCCTCGCCAGAATGTTGAGAACGACGGCGTTGT